AACCCCAGGGTAAAAGAAGGTGATGAGTGGAAAGGAGCATTCATCACTCCCAGAGGGCTCTTTGAGCCTACAGTAATGTTCTTTGGTCAATGCAACTCACCCCCTTCTTTCCAGAGGTATATGGACAAAACCTTTGAATCTCAATGTGGAAAACAGGTTGGATACATGGATGATGTTGCCATCCATGCCAAGACAAAAGAAGAACTTCAGAACTGAGTTCACAAATTCCTGAAGATCTGTGAGAAAGAAGGTCTGTGCCTCAAGATCAGCAAGTGTGTCTTCAAGGCCAAAGAAATAGAATTTCTCAGAATGATAATAGGAAAGGGGCATATGGAGACTTTGCCAATGAAGACTGACACCATTAGTACTTGGGAAGCCCCTGACAATCTTATGGGACTTCATTGCTTCCTTGGATTCTGTAATTTCTACTGCAAGTTCATCCCTTCTTTCTCAAGCATCACCAGACCCCTCCATGATCTCACCAAGAAAGGGGTTTCCTACCAGTGGACTCTGGAATGCGATGCTGTGTTTGAAAAGCTAAAATCTTTGTTATGCTCTTCTCTGGTCCTCACTATTCCTGACTTCTTGAAGCCCTTCACTCTCTTTACAGATGCTTCAAAGCTCAGAACTGGGGCCATCCTTGCCCAGAGAGGAGCTGACAATGAGTGGCATCCATGTTCCTACCTCTCGCAGTCCCTGGTTGGTGCTGAGCAGTGCTACCAAGACTATGACTTGGAAATGCTCACAGTTATTTGGGCACTTAAGGCCTTCCACCCATACCTGCTTTCCCCCATTGAGCTTACTGTGGTCTTCACTGACCACAAGAACTTGGAATACTACTGAGAGCCTCAACAGCTCACTCCATGCCAGGCCTGCTGGGCCACTACTATCCAGTCCTATCCTATCTGGTTCTCCTGGCAGGCTGGTTGCCTACAGGTCCTGGCCAACACTCTTTCTTGTAAAGGCATCCTGGAGGAGCCCACCCCAGTGGCCATGGTCCTTCCCCCAGACCTTTGGCTTTTGGAGGGGGTGGGTCCCCAAGTTCACCTTGTTTCACCCTCTTTTTCCATTACCAAAATACAAAAACAACTAAAAATTAACTGTCTTATGTGAGTTGGATGTCTTCCCACCTGGATACAGCATTCCAAGCTGAACTCAAAGCTGTATTCTCACCTGCTTGAGGAAACACCAAAGGAGAATCGGCTGCCTGATGCTTGCCTGTTGAGGAAACCTGTAAAAGGAGCACAGGGAGTTTATGCTATATCCATGGACCTGTATGAGCATGTCAAGAATGATATGTCAAAGGCCTCTACAGGCCCAGAACCTAAAAATAACATCACTATTGTGGAAGATGAAACAAAATGTTTTGGAACCATGCATCTCTATATTCCCCCTGAAGATCACCATCACTACATGTGCTCACATCATGATCACGAGTCAGCTGGACATCCTGGACAGAAGGCAATGTTTGCAAAGATGCGAAAGGAAGTATGGTGGGAAGGTATGGGAAAGAATATACAAGCTTACATGGCAGGATGCCTGGTATGTCAAACGACCAAGGTGGTGACTCATCCACCAACTCCACCTGTTTTCCCCCATGATATGCACAAGACTGTGTTTCCATTCCAACAAATATCCATGGATCTCATCACAGATCTCCCAGTCTTGGGAGAACAAAAATATGACTCTATTCTCACGGTTGTTGATCAGGGGCTGTCCAAGGCTTCCCTGTTTGTTCCATGTCATAAAACAATTGACTCTGTCAGGATCACCTGACTCTTCCATCAGTTCATCTATTCCCACTTTGGGGTTCCTGAATCAGTGATCTTGGATTGTGGACCACAGTTTGCTTCTTCCTTTACAAAGGAGCTCTACAAAGCAATAGGGGTAAAAACCAAGCTTTCGACAGGTTACCACCTACAAACCAACAGAGAGAGCAAATGGGTAAACCAAGAGGTGGAAGGGTATCTTCGGTTGTACTGCACCAAAGCACCGAACTCCTGGGCAGCAAAACTCCCATCTGCCGAGTTTGCTCACAACTCCCATGTCCACTCCATCCATCAAATGACACCATTTTCACTCCTAGGCTATGACCTGTCCCCCTATCCAGAAAAGTGGCTTACTGTGGTTCCCTTGGTAGATGAAAGATTAGAAAGGCTGCCCTCAAGTTGAGATGTCACCATTCTTGCTCATAAGAAAGCACAGGATCTGATGTGTTCATGCTCAAAAGGGTCCTATGTACCGCCCAAGGTCAGAGATCAAGTCCTCCTTGACACTGGACATCTCCATGTCAAAAACCAGTGTGACAAGATTGCACCCTGATGACTTGGACCATTCAAAGTGACTCAGGTTGTGTCACCCATCACCTTCTGGTTGGAGCTCCCTCCAACTTGGAAGGTTCATCCTGTGTTCCACACCTCTCACATCTATCCTTAGACCAAAAACAACACATATGGACAAGCTCCACCCGCACTGCTGCCAGAACTTGTTGATGATGAAATTGAGTGGGAGGTTGAGTCAATAATCAATCACAAGGTTGATGGGTGCAGAGGTAAGAGGTGATACCTGGTCAAGTGGAAAGGGTTCCCCCATTCATCAAATACCTGGGAACCTGAAGAACATATAAAAGACCATGCTGTGGAGGCTCTCTCCCAGTACAAAATTGCTCGCCATTTTGAAACTAATGGACTCTCCTCGCTCCATCAACACTGAGAATGACTATACCAACCTCCCCCTTGCAGAATCTGTTTATGACCCCACAGCTGACCAGGATGACCTCTTCATCCCCCCCATCACTGTCTATGCCCCAGCCTCACCTCCAACAACCTCTGCTGGCTTTCCTGACTCATACCCCTCATCCCCCATCTCACAACCTCGTGTGACATCACCCCCTGTTGCCTGCCCTCTCTGACCACATCCACACATGTCCTTCTTGGTTAAGAGGGTCCCTGCCCCCAAGGCCAGAGTCTCCCTCAGTGGGGACAGTAACCAGCAGGGAAAGGGAAAGGGCAAGGCACAAGTTGATGATGACTCTGATAGTCGAGCAGCCAAAGCCAGCTCCTCTGAAGCTCCTGAATCTCCCCACCTACACACTGCCTTCACCACCTACTCCGATGGTGCTCAATGTGCTGCCCTTGATCTCCTCACCACAGCAGCCCTTGCCAGGGATGATGAGCCATGACCAATTGCAGCAGCTGACTACCTGGACATTGTTAGGGCACTTGATGTCTTCCACAATGGGGACAACATTGACAGGTGCTCACCAGAACAGGTTATGTATTTTGGGCTGTTGCTTAAAATCTACAGAGTGACAGACATAGTCAATTCTGCAGTCTCCAAGATATGTACTCAGAAACTCAGTGGCACCACACCCCTGTTGGAAGTAATCATGATCAACATGTTGGAAATGAGTTCTTTGGGACTACTAGAAGCCATTACAAGCAGTGCTTACCACCACCTTCATCATCAACAGATCAGTGAGTTTTTAGCCCTGCCTGCTTCTCATCTTCTTGATCAGATTTGCCTGAAACAAGAGGAACCATTGGTTTCACATGAACAGCAAGAAGAGAAGCAAGTAGAACAGACAAAGACTGACAAGTGGCATGCTCTGGAATTGATGTATGTCCATTCTAGTGACTTGTATAAAGAAGTTGGTGCTCAACTCAGAACAGGGACTCATAATTCTGCCTGGGAGGTGCTTTTACAAGATGCATCATGGGCTGGACTCCATAAAACCTACCACAACACCATCCACACTACTGACCCTCTCCCTGCAACTCCCTTCATCCCTGTCCCTCTCGATCAGCTTAGGTTTTACCTTGGAGGGCAGACCCCTGTCCCCACCAATCATGTCCTTTATCAACATGCATGCTTCCAGTGTCATTACATGGGACATTGGTCATGCTGCAATGGACATGGCTCCCACTTTACTCCAGCCCTTGAGGAGCCATTGTCTCCATTGCCATTGTCGCCCATCGCTTCATGCACTTGTTCCTGTGTCTATACTACCTGCTGACCCCTTTCCACCCACTCCACTAATGTGCCTGGCCCATCCTCAAGGGTCTGAGGACCTTAGAGGGGGGGTGATGTTATGCCCACATCAGGGGTCTTTCCTTTTTTGGCTTCTTGCAGTCATGTGCATCACATGCCTTGTCATGTCTCTCATACTCATTGCCATCCTAGGGGCTCATTTACTGCAGGGCTCCTTTGGATCTCCCACAGTCATGGTATTTCCAATACCAGTCAAGACCGCACCTCTGCTCTGATCTGGTATTCCACTGCCCTCTCTGATGGATGACATGTTTCTTTCTTGTTCCAGTGACTCGCCTTTGACTCATTTATATTGCTTACTTGTTGTACTATATTTCTGGTGTCTGGCTCCTTGCTGCACATTGATTGCACAGCCAGTATAGCCTTCGTCTCCTTGCCAATCCCCATCATATGACACCATATGACTCATTCTGACTTATCTATTTGACTGATGCTTTTGTTGATTACTGCAGATATGTGTCATGACATGTCCTGTCATGACTGGTATGGTACTTGTACTTAGGGGTATATAAACCCATGTACTTTACCTTGTATCCTCAGTTTTTCAATAGCTTGCAACTCAGCTTCATTCCTTTGCTTTCATCCTTGTTTCCTCCTCTGTGTGATCTCAGAAGAACTCACCAGAAGGAGCGAACCTTTGCCAGACCTCAGTGATAACTGAGCCATAGGGGTTATGACACATTTGGCCTGTAGACTCCCCCTCACACACTTTGTGCCTATTCCATTTGAAGAAGTCACTGTGCTCAGGCATAACAAATGGAGCTGCTGCTCAAGCCACTTTGAGCTTCTGCAATAGGCTATCTGCTTAATCTTGGATGTCAGAGAGTGTGCTGCAAGTGGATCCTCAGACTAACCAATCCAAATCATCTTCATGAAGTTGGAATCATTCATCTGATCATACTCCATGGAGTCCCAGTATGAATCAGACACCTGGGAGCAGATGGAAAGAGATGATGCTGATGGTGAGTGAGATATAGAACCATCAGATGTGGGGGAAAGGGAGGAAGAAAGGTTTGAAGTGGAAGAGTTGGAGATCCTTGGGCACCAACACCAGGAATGGAGGCAAGCAGGGAAGAAGAAGAAGCCTGCAGTTCTGCTATCCATATGGGAGGAGATGCAGCAAGTGGACAGGAACAAGGAGTTGAGAGGGAGAAAAGTCCAGACCAAGTATAAGGTATGCTCTAAAAGTTCTGATTTGGATGCTCACAATTCAAAGCACCCTTGTAGCTAATACAAGATTGGTTGAAAAAGCCTCTCCATTCAAAGAAGCCCCACATTGCCCTTAGATCCAGTTACAAATACTCTGTGTGGGCAGTGGTTCACAAATTGTACCAAGAGCAAATACAGGAGAAGCTTGCAAAAATGAAAGTAGGAGAAGGCAATATCCATGGAAGCAAGCAGATCCAACAGTATCAGAATGCATTGATGGCTCTTATTCAGGATGACCTGATGGAGGGACAATTGGCTGCAGCTGAAGATATAGCAGAAAGGTGGAATGGGTGGGAAGGCCCTGTGCCAGAGACAAAAGCAAGGTGCAATTGTATGAGGTCAACTTCCCAGTCTTCAATTTATCCTGGTTCCCAGGAATGCAGCCAAGTATGGGTACAAGTATGTCTGAAACTTTGTGATGGAGATGTGTAGGTATTGCAGAATGTGCATAGTGTGTATGGCTGGGTGGAAAAATGAGGAGGGAACTATACAGGCACACACATGAGTCCACCATATTCTCCTCTGGGCCTCGGTAAGATTCATGCAATGACAGTATGGACTTCAATCATGAAATCATGGATGGGATCCCCTTCAATGATGTCCACACACCAGAAGGAAGCTGGCAAGAGTACCTTGGGGAAACATTTGAGGAACCAAGAACACTGCCCAAGCATGATGGTGAGTCAAGTCCCAAATGTGCTTGGAAAAAGACAGTGGCCAAAGCAATGAGGACAGGCAAGGTTGACTCTGTGAAATTGGTGAAAAATGCTGATGGAGAGATTTGGATAGGAGAAATCACAGGCCTTAGCCAGGACCAACTACAAAAAATGGTTTGTGGATTTGTGACTGCTCACTACTGTGAGTGGCCAGAGTATTTAGTGTCCTCAATCTCTGATGAGTGCTATCAGGATTAGCATGCAGAAATCCCTTGTCAGCAGTGCCATTCAAGAATTTTGGTCATCATCAAGCAGAAATGATAGCAGCCCACCATCTTCCTGAAGGATTTACCTTCAACCATGACCCAAGTCACATGTGGATGACAACAGCTACCCAGCTGCTGTCCATCTGGTGCAAGCAACAGGAATCCCATCCAAATGATGTGTTTGGACATCAGAAATGGATCAATTGATCTGGTGAGTGGCAGCCACCAGTGGATAGAACTTTGGTACCCCTCCAGGTTGTGAGGCAGTGGAAATACCAAAAGACACCTGCTCCCAAATGCAAAAAGAATCCTGGAAAGAAAAATGTCAAGGGCAAGGGTAAAGCACAGGAAGAGAGAGTGGTGGATGATAGCACAGATGATAGTGCAGATGACAGCATGGATGACAGTTTGGATGATCATGGTGAGGCTGAGGTGAGCAATGTTGGAATAGATGGTCCCTCTGCTAAAAAGGTGTCCCATGTGTGATTTTCATGCACAACAGATCAGCACTAATGCAATTCTGCTCTTCAGGTATCTGGCAGGAGTCAAAACCATGCCAAGACACCATTCCCTTCTTGTTCCCACTCAAATCCCCCACCAGCTGATGGTTCCCATGGTGAGTGGCTCCCTGCACCTCCAGCCCATGCAAAGACCCCAGTGCATCATCTGTGAAATAAAGTGCTAACTGACTATAATGGGTGGGAAAGCAACAGCCATGATTCCCATGATGAAGCTGATGAAGACACTTATTTGCCCACCCTATCCAATTCAAAGAAAATGGCAACATCCCTGAATAGTGAGCTTCCTGCTGTAACTTGTATTCACAGCAAACCCTCATCTGCACTCAGGGAACAAGTACACAACTGAACTACAGGACCACTCAGAATACACAGATGAAGATGGATAGGAGAGCATTCCTTTCACTGACCACCCAACTGAGGAGGGGTCAATGAGCAGAAAAAAAGGCAGAAAGCTGAAATCCACCCTGAAGTGCACACACCAGGCAAGTTCAGTCATGTTGAATCAGCTGTTATGGCTAACAAGTTTGCACTGTATATTAAGCAGGCTCTGTCAGAATTGAGTGAGCCAGACATGAATTGACATTGACCTGGGGCCAAATACTCATCCAAGTCCAACTGTAATGGATCCATGACTGCCAATGCAGCGTCCATGAATGTGAAACAGAGCATCCCTGGGAGCACCAGGAAATCACCTCATGTCAGAAAGGCCCCTGCAAGGCCAGATGCAGATGTTCCATCTCCTGATGCAAACAGATCACACAAGCAAACAGGCAGCAATCAGAAGTGGAAGTAGTTGTTGAATCCCTTAAACAGTCAGAGCAGAAACCTTTTTTGGAACTCATGTATGGTCTATAGAGGGCTTAGCCTAGTGTGACACATTAGGATACAAGTGTATGGCATGTATGGTAGCTCATGACACCATGGTGGTTGTGAGAGGCATCTTTGATATCAGAGAGAGGGATAGTTAAGTGGGACAGTTGAGCAGGACAATTGAGTGGAGAGCTAAGCAGGACAGGTGTACATATTGGCCATGTGGCAGTGACTGGTAGCTATCTATGTAGGGAGATATTGCTGCTCATCTCCCATGTATTGCTGTTACCCAAAATTTGGCTCCATCCACCATTGTCCAACCTTGCTTCCCACAGTGTGAATGATATTCTCACCATTGTCCCTACAAGTTTAAATCTTGATTGATCATCAACCTATCAGTGAACCCATCATCATGGAATATGTCCACCAAACAGTCCCACCAAGTTTGTTTCTGTCATCAAGGTGAGGATGTCTTCATTGTTGGATCCAGTGACCTAAGCCATCCACAGCTAGTGTAAGACCAATTGAGCCAAGGCAATGTAGCTCCTGTGTGAAGCAGTCCAAAAATCTGGAGGAGACACTAGTACAACTGCATGAGTTGCAAGAGCCAACCCCTCCACCAATTGTCTCAAGTGGAAGGGTGGATATGGTGGGGTTGAACATGGATATTGTTGCCAGTGAGTGAACATGGTTTCTCTCCAAGCTAAACAACAAACATTCTTTTGCTATAGATTCATGTAAAAGCTTGCTGGATCTGTTCCTGCAGGAAAGGGAGCCAACCACTCTGGCAGAGGGCAGAATTGCAGCCAGTGAGTTGGCACAATTGCCCTTCAAGCTAACAAACAAACTAATTTTCAAGTAATAGATCCACATGACAACTTGATGAATTGGTTCCTGAATGAATGGGAACTAACTGCTCCCCCAGCAGATGGTATGAACATGGATCTACTCAAGCAATTGCTGAATGCACAGGAACCATTGGAACCACCAGTCATGCATGAGAAATTAAACAGGATGGACAGGTCTTCAACACCTGCACAAGACATTACTATGCAGGTCAATTTTCTGGCAGATTTGCGGAATGTGTGGGAACCATCTCCTCTGCCCATCACCCATGAATCATCAAATCTGAGGGACTGATCTCCTTGACCCAATTCTCCAACTAACCTGCTTGCTCAATTGCAGGATATGAGGGAACCAACACCTCTCCCACTCATTTCAAATGTACCCATCAAATCTTTTGACTTGGCAGAGGATGAGGACAATGGTGCAAACCATTTGACTTTTGGCATGCCCAAATGATCAGAGATGAGGGATCTTTTCAAAGAAATATGCAATGGTGAGCATCTATTTGGTTCTATTCATGTGATCAGTGATATCCATTGATTATGTAGGTGAACTTCCATCCACACAGCAATCTCTTCAAATGGAACAATGGGGATTGGCACCTGTTCCATGTTGCAATCAGAGTATGGGCATGAGCTTAATCTGATGCACCTTTGATATTGATAATTTTAGTCCTGCATGCCTTACATGCTGCAGTATCTCACTACCATGGAAACACCACTCCCAGTGACACGCTGTTCAATCCCACCCTTGATAGGCACCTTGTGCAGGCTGTGAATGCCATTGTGAGAGAATTGGGCACAGCTGCAAGGGACCAGTATGGTGCAATCCCTCAGGGCCTTTGACTCATCAATATGCTCAATTTGATGGAAGTCATTCATTATCCACATTCTGCCTTTGAAAATTGTCCTGAGCCATTCATCACCAGCCAATCACACCCATCTCACCAGTCTGTGGTAGAGATGGGTATCCTCTACTTGGCATGCCAGATCAAGGTGGCCTCTGTACATCTGAAGCAGACTGCTGATATCATGGGATGGCCTGCACATTGGTTTGCAAACCTAGCAATGGACTTGGAAGGTTGTACATCAATTTCTCACAATGTGGGACTGATACATAATTCCTTTGGAATCAGCTTAATAGCTTGATTCTTGTGATGGTGTTGCATGCCAGTTATACTCCTCCCTTCCCAGCATGCTACCATGCATACCTCAGACACCAAGATGATGAGGTTAGCATCCACAATCAAATGCAGCTAATACCCCTTAGTGCATTTTGCATAATCAACAATGTCAGTGCCATTGTCCTGCATTGGACCCCACATGCAGCTGATCCCAATTCTGGCTTTGCAGTCCCTTTGTGGCTATATTGTTCCAAGGAATACACAGTGGATTCCCAAAGATTGCAAGACAAGGGATTGTTTTCCACAGCCTGGGATTTTTTTAAGGTATGCCACTTATTCTTGTCACTGCAAATAGTTGATGATGGCCCAGGGCTTATGGCCATTGCCTGAGGCACCAATCACAGACTGCCTCAATGGCTATATTGAGGAGCAGGTAAACTACTGCATCAAAAATATTTAGAAATATGCTGATGTTGTCAACAGTCAGGGTTGACAAATTGACCATTTCTATGCTAGGTGGTGGGCATTGCATGGGTTGTTGGGCATGCCACTTCAATAGTTTACATGTTTTTGACTGTGGAGTTGGTTGTATATACATTGCTGTGAATGTCAATCATTTATGAGATATACTGCCCATTCACATGATGTCTGAACCCCTGCCCATCTGCACAATGTCTATCAATCCACCCATCTGCATGATGGCCTGAGTAGGTTTACTTTTTTTGCAGTTTATGATGCACACCCTGTAGCTCTGAATACCCACCCAATCTATGATGTCACAGCACCCACCCATTTGCAAAATCTTGGCAACACCACCCATCCAAAGTTCAAGAGCCAGCATATCCTAATAAAATACAAGATCTGCATTGCCTACTAAATCTTACATTAAATTTGGCAGCTTCAAATTAACAGTTCTCCAGTTGCAACTGGTCTAGGTAGCAGGTCATCCATCCATGGTGATTGACACATGGGAACATGCACCAACTGATGTACATTGGCATGCATGTTGTATGCCAGGCATGCTCTGTCACCATCTACAGCTCCCACCCCATGCTCCAATGCTGAACCTGACAATGCAATGATCGTCCCTGGGTTGTAGTGCAGCTGCAGATTCAATGTTGGAATGACAAAGTCCAAGGGCAGGTAGTCACCCATGGTTATCAGCATGTCATACCATGGATCCCATCCATTGATATCCCTGTGGTAACAAGTTGCCTGATTCACCATCACAGAGATGCTGCTATATGTGGAGCTCCATATTGGCAGTATGGAGCTCATATCCAAATCTGCCCACTGTTCTGCCTGTTCACCAAGGTGGATCAATGCTTCCCTGCCATCTGCATACATTCATGGATGGATGACATGCAGGATTGCAGATAACAGGGCATTGGTGTCAGACATTTGGTCAACCCATTCCCTTGTAGAAGTGTTTTCTGTCCTGGATTTGAGCAGCTGTGAGGCTTCTGGGAAGCCATTTTGGGGCTTCAAGACAGACGAGTGCTTTATTCACAAGGCAAGAAATGATCACCCACCCCATGACCCTGTTGAAACCATGTGGGTGACAGGTTGATGGCACCATTCAACTCAGCATTATTGCAGAAATATGACTTGTCCATCCACCATGCCTGTGGGGAAGCCTTTATGCTCTCCCACAGTGGTTCCCTCAGAAGATGAAGGCAGTTCCATACATTGGCCTGCCATTCCATTAAGTCAGTAGAATATGAGATTCTGCATTCCCTTTCCCTTCTTTTTGGGCTGAGAGCATCCAGCAAATACCAAATGTGGATGGTGTTTGAGTCAGTCACCAAAATGGATGGCTCAGTCACTTCTGCATATCTTTCAGCAGCTTCTGCATTGCAGGTTTTTCCACCCCAATTTTTCCTGACATTGACTGTGGAAAGATGAAAACTTCCATCACACCATTATGATGGACATACTTGGGTGACAATATGCCTGTGAGATTACTGATGATATGTGATCCACTTCACATAACACCAGAAATGGAATCAATATATCTGGAAGGGTGTGAGGTCCACTGAATACCTCCTCTTGAAATCTGGCTTTCATGTATGACACAATGCAGTCTGTTAGTTCCATTTGCCATCCATGGGGGGTTTTAGATGTGTCTTGCATAGTATTCATGCTTGGGGTGGATGATATTGGAGTTGTATAGTGGGCAAGCTGCTTGCAGCTTGTTGGACAATTACAGCATGTTGGGACACTACACATGCTATTGGTGTTGGGCCCATCTTATGTGGTGACAGGCGTGGATCTTACTAGACAGACCCATCCATGTTTTATGGCAATATAAAAGATATTACTGAAGGGCCTGTCCATATGTTATGACCATATAAATAATACTGCTAAAGGGCCCATCCTTATGTTGTGACTGCATAAATGATACTGCTAAAGGGCCCATCCTTATGTTGTGACTGCATAAATGATACTGCTGAAGGGCCCTTCCATATGTTGTGACACTATAAATGATATTACTGATGGGCCCATCTTTATGTTGTGACAGGGGTCCATCTTACTAGACAGGCCCATCTATGTGTTGTGACACTGTAAATGATATTACTGACAGGCCCATCTTTATGTTGTGACAGGCATACATGTTGCTATTGACAGGCCCATCCATGTGTTGTGACCATGTAATTGATATTACTGACAGGCCTGTCTTGTGTTGTGACAGGGGTGTATTTTACTAGATGGGCCCATCCATCTGTTGTGACAATGTAATTGATAATACTGACTGGCCCATCTTTATGTTGTGACATGGGTGCATCTTACTAGATGGGCCCATCCATGTGTTGTGACCCTGTAAATGATATATATTGAAGGGCCTGTCTTTATGTTGTGACAGGTACATCTTACTATGGACAGGCCTGCCCATGTGTTGTGATGGTATAAATGGTATTATGGAAGGGCCTGTCCATATGTTGTGACAGGGATGCATCTTACTAGATGGGCCTGTCTATGTGTTGTGATGCTGTCAATGATATTACTGACAGGCCCATCCTTATGTTGTGACAGGTGTACATCTTGCTATGGATGGGCCCATCTATATGTTGTGACAGGGATATATTATCCCAAAGATGGGCCCTTCCATATGTTGCCAACTCTGTAATCTATCATAGAGGGACCCCTCTTTATGTTCTGACCCCATAAAGCATATGACAGGTGGGCCTGTCCATATGTTGTGACCTTCTTCATGATACAATGGGCAGGCCTGTCCTGATATTGTGACTGGGGTCCACCCTACCATGGACAGGCCTGTCCATGTCTTACAGTAGCTCATCATCTTACTTGGTCATGGGCCTGTCTATATGTTGCAGCATCCTTACCCTCCACAGGCCCTCCCATATGTTGTGGAATTGTGCTTATGGACCTGTACATATGTTGCTCTCACTATAGGCCCTCAGGCCTGTCCATGTGTCATCACTAATCTATTTAGATGGGCCCATTGCAGGGTCTATATAAGTGTTGGCATTTTGGCATGCAGGCTACCTATATGTTGTGACTAAATGGACCACATGGGGTCACTATGCTCACTTTGACAGCCATGAGATCATTTCCAAGCCTCACACACACAATTTCCACCATGCATCTGGACATTGACCATGCCAATGAATGTGTGTACAGTACCACTGGCCATGTGATTTCCATTGTCACACCTGCATGGGGTATCCCAGTGTCACTTCCCTTCCTCAAGGCAGCTTGTTGTATGACACAAGAAGTCATTGCAGGCCCATCACAAAGGTGTCCATATCATTCAGCAGATTACCATCCTTCCAAAGTCATCAACCACATCCTATACAAATTCAACAGCCTTGTCCAGTCCCACATTCATAAAATCCTAGTCATTATCAAGCTGCTCCTTATAGATGAGGACTACTATGCTTGTGTTGGAGGCCATGAGGTCATTTCCAACCTCATGAAAGTGGCCAGCCTCTCGTACACATGGTTTCCACCATCCATCTGGACATTGACTGTGCTGATGAATATGTGTGCAATACCACAGCCCATGCCTTTTCTGTTGTCACACCTGCACTGGGCATTGCAATGTTGCTTCCCTTCGTCAAGGCCATTTGTCATAGCCAGAAGTTGCAGCAGGCTTGTCATGCAGGTGTCCATATTGTTCAGCAGATTGCCATCATGATGGGCTGCACCATCCTTCCTCACCTGTGCAGCCTCATCAGCCGTGTTGCTCATGGGCTCACAGATGAACAGCAGAAAGTGCAGACAGTAACTGTGCTTGCTACTGCTGCCCTAGCTGAAGTGGCTGCACCCTATGGAATTGAGTCTTCTGATGAGGTTCTATGGCCACTGTGGCTCAGTATTCACCAGCATCGCAGAAGGGAACTTGCTGCCTTCTTGAAGGTGATTGGTTTCATCATTCCTCTCATGGACCCAGAATATGCTTCATACTACATGAAGGAGGTCACAGTCATCTTGATCCATGAATTCCAGATGTTGGATGAAGAGATGAAGAAGATTGTCTTGAAGGTCATTAATCAATGTGCTGCCACCAATGGTGTAACTGCTCAATACATTAAGCAGGATGTTCTTCCAGACTTCTTCAAGTCATTCTGGGTCCATTGCATGGTGCTGGACAGGCAAAACTATCATCAAATGGATGAAAAGAGCTGGGGTCTCCAAGATCACAGGGAGGATCATGAATGAGTTGAAAGATGAAGCAGAGCCATACCATAAAATGGTCATGGAGACTATCATGAAAGTCATTGCCACTCTTGGTGACTCTGATATTGACAAATGTTTGGAGGTCTGTCTGGTCAATGGCATCACATGCTCCTTCCAGGAGCAGACTATGGAAGGCCAAGTCATGCTGGACAGGTTCAGCACTGTTGTTGACACTCTAGGTATCTGTGTCAAACTGTACCTTACACAGATCGTCTCTACTATCCTCTGGCAGCATTGAACAACAAAAGCACCAAAGTTTGTCAACAGACCACTGATCTCACCACATGACTCACTATCATCATCATCAAGCAATGTGACAAGGACCAGCTTTTGAGCAAGCTTGGACTTGTCTTGTTCAAACAACTTGGAGAAGAGTACCCTGGCATGCTCGGTAGTATCATTGCCACTGAGGGTGCTATTGCAAATGTGGTCAGTATGACACAAATGAACCTCCCCTCCCCCCCCTGGTGAAGGATCTTTGCAAGTATTTATTACCTCTTGATTACTCAACATCTGACCTGACATATAGTTCCTTGAATGACCCCCATTCTTCATAGCCATCACAAGAAGGCCCAAGAGGCATCTATGAACTTGATTGGTCATATCATGGATTGTGGTGCCAAGTTCATTCCAGCCTGAGAAGGATGGGTATCTGCTTTGAGTCATTGGATCTCTTGAAAGCCCACAAGAAAGCCATTTGTCACACTGCTGGGGACTCATTCAGATACATCACAAAGAGCTTGGGTCCTCAAGATGTGCTGCTCTTGCTTCCAGTTCTCCTGTGTGCAGTACAGTTGTGATTGCCATCTGGGCATGAGCCCTCAATAAATACAGGACAGCTGAGTCAAACATCCATGCTGGACATCTCAACACACTGATCACCCCATGTATGTGCATGGAAATGGAAATGGCAATGCCTTGTCAGTGCTGAATGACCCATGCATATATGTATTTAATATCTCCATGTGAGCCCCTTCTGCTTCACCCCAAGCTTGAGGGCCTCTGCCCCATGATCAACTGAATTATGAATTACAAGATGGAGACACCATAGTGGCAGCACTGGTTGTACATATGTTTGCTATCCATTTCATCCATGTAATGTGTGTAGTGTGCTATGCATCCCTGTAGTTGTGTGGGCCTGTGGTGTGGCTGCAACTAGTTACCTGACTTGAACCCTTCAGGCATGACCTCTTCTCTGGCCTTCAGCGCTCAGTGCCCAGCTGTGACACAGCTCCTTCTAAACCCCTGGCTCATCCCAGAAAATATATCTGACCTGATGGGTTGAAATCAAGAGTCAAAGAAGGCTCTGGTGGTGTTGCAGTCACCACAGAAGAAGTCAAGTTGGAAGAGGCAGACCCCCACAGTCAACACTGGCAATGCTGCAGCCATGTCTCTGAAGGACATCAACCAGCTGAAAGAGCAGGGGAAGCAGATGCACCTCAAGGCAGCAAGAATGAGAACTGCCTATGCTGCATATGTCTTCCAAGGTTGAGAGTGGCTCAGCAGCTTCACTGCCTCTGGAATGGAGAGCCAGCCTGAGGATGCTGGCCCAGCCCTGACTCCCATGGCACCCATGGCACCCAACGACCTGTACAGCAACCCAGAGTTCAGAACAGCCTTTGAGAGCACACCAAACAGCTGCTCTGACAAGGCATTGGCCTTGTACATGATGTGGAAGGGATTCCATGAGAATTTAGGCAAGAGCACTGTGGAGAGCATCAGGGCAGCATTCAAAGATGTTTGGGCAAATGCATAAGCATTCCTTCATCCCAGTGTTCAGACAGCCAGCAGGTGTGCAGACCACTGACTGGCCATTGGTGGATACCATGCCATTGCCATCTAACAGGGATGGAAATACCTTTCAAGGCAAGTGGGGGTTCAATGAGGCAAGGCAGCACTGTGAGGGGAACCTGGCAGAATCAGCTGATGTTCAAGATGTCCTGACTTTGATCAAGCACAAGGCAAGTGCAGAAGCAGGCAATCACAAGCACTCATTGCCCATCACACAGGATCACTTGGTTCAGATGCTGCAGTGGGCATGCATGGTGTGCCCTGACCTTGATTTTGCCTTGAGTGTCCTTCAAATGACTTTCAGCACACCTGGCAGTGGGCCCACACAACAACCACTGTCAGAACTACTCAGTCTCAAGGTGTGGACACTGGTGACATGCCACCTTGAGCAACTTGCATTTGCATGCACAGCATGGACACTATGGACAAGGTCAGTGAGGTGACTCCATTGTGGAGTGTATTGTGTGACCCCCATCTGAGAGATACACATGGTCACACAGCTGCTATGAGCCGATCTGACTCAAGCAGAGGCACATCACAATCAACTGCATGATGGTGGACTGCACACTGGAAAAGTACCTTGGAAATGAGCCACTGATGCTGTCCAACAGGTCTGTCTACTTCAAGGTCTACCTAGCAAATCGAAAGGGGTGGCAGTGCAAGGTTGACAAGGGGATGACCAAGGCTGATCTGCACAGTGAGTCCACCATTAGCCTGATTGCCTTGTTGGCAATGCACACAATGAGGCTGTGAGCAAGCTGATGTCAAACCAAGCATGCATTTCCCTGCAGGCAACTGGTATAAAATCTTCCCCCAGCCTGAGCTCCCAGGAGCCAACTGCTTCCTGTGGCTGCCACTCTGAGTACACTGGCTTGAATGTGTCCACTACCAACAACCACTTGACCCTGATGACAATGTCTTCCCTGCAATGGGGGCTAATGGTGTTGTACAGCCCTGTGAGCCAATCTCACATGATGCCATGCAACAGTGGATCAATGAAGCAACAACTGGTGCAGGAATTCAAGGCTCCTTCTTGACCCATTGCTTTCAATGGGGTGGAGCATAGTACAGGTTTATGCTGGCCCCTGTTGGCGAGCACTGGTCCCTCAAAAAAGTCCACTGGTGGGGGGGCTGGGCTGAGGGGGAGCATGTAAGTTCTGAGTTTGAGTGTCCCATCATTCATAGTGTTGACCTGGATGCTTCACACCTGGTACTGTACTACCAACCTGCTCTGATGTGGCCTCCAGCATAACACCCTCATCTGATACCTCCTAGATGAGCTTTACTGTTACAAGACAGACTACAGTGATGTGCTTGCTCCAATTGTACAGGATGTGCAGGATTCTCTGGTAGGTGAATCTGCCCTCATGCAACCTGTCACTGCAGAGGAGGTCTGCACAGCCCATGCATCCACCACCTCCAATGTTTGTGGCCTGTGGACCAGGATGGGGCAGGTCAGTGAGTCCATTCACAAGCTTGCCTCAGTCATGGATCAAGCAGTAGATCTACTTGTGGCAGAACAAGGGCAAGAACCCAGCTTCATCCAGCCAGTGGGCTGTCACCACTACTGGTGATGCATCTACTACAGCAGGTCTTCAGCCAAAGAACATCAACTGGGATGTTCCTCATACCAATATACTCATCAACTGGTTGCTCACCCATCCTGCAAACCAGAGAATCCTTTTTAGTGATAAGACCACAACCATCTCACCACCTTCACCTGACAAGGGGCCAGCGGGCCATAACAAGAAAGAAGTTCAAGCAATTATTGCCAAAGTCATATTCAAGAATGATCCCTACTACAAGGACATGTACATGGCAGGCCCTGCTAAGTTCCAAGTTAGCATAGGCAACCACATCACTATGGCAGTCTCCTCTTCATATTTTATCTGTGATTTTTTAATGATCATTTAGGCTGAAGGGATCATATCACAAGTGCTGTGCATGCTTTAAACAATCAGGGGAAGGCATTATGCCTGGTCATGCAAGCTATGCAAATCTCCATCATAAGTTATCAATCAATCTAGTGGGATTACAGTTGCTGATGTGTATGATTACAGAAGCTGTTCTCAACACTTTACCCTGGTATGATGATCTGCATTCCATCTGGCAGGGAAACCCCTCCTTCAACTCTGACCTGATTAATTCTGAGCCAGACAAAAATTGCAGTGAAGATTTTTTAGCCATTGTCCAAATTAAATCATCTGGTATGCAGAAGACTTCAGACTTGGGAGTGGGGTCACCTGCTGCTCCAGTGGATGAAGGTACCTCTTCAAATACTGGGACTGAGGCATGGCAATTGAGATCTGGAGGATGGTGAAGTCAATGAGAGGATGTCTCATGTTGGTGATCTAGTCATGAACAAGGGGGATGAATTTGCTGTTAGTATCTTTGATCTGGAAGGCATGGACCCTGGCTTTGGAGATGGAGAGGATGTTAACATGGACCTGGTGTCAGTTCACAGTGATCAGGTGCGTTTCTATTGGGACATCACTAATGGATCATTGTTAATGTATCAGCAGTCATATCCTCAGCCATTGACTCCTGAAGTGTGGTGTCAATTTTCCCTCCCTCACAAGTCACACACACCTTTCTCAGATAATCACTCTGCATTCCACCAATCACCATACCTTCATCCCCCCCACTTCCACTGGAAGTGTCATTTCCTCTGTGTCATCATCATCTAGCTCTTCCCACAAGGGGAAGGCTGTCACAAGGACCCTGTGGTCCTCATCATCCAAGACAACATCAACAGAGGCAAGTTCTCTCCCAGTTGCTTGCAACAAGTCTCAACTTCAAAGCCAGGTCATTGACTTGAGTCAAGAGGCTGAGTCAATACTAGCATCCTCATCTTCTGGTAAGACTACACAGTACCTGGCAAAAATGCAGTATATGCTGAAGGATCAGGAGCTCAAGTTGAGGAAGTAGCAGCTTAGGATGCAGTGGACAAAGGGAGCAGGAGCTCCAGAAGCTTGATATCGAGCTGAAGAATGCTGAAGAAAATGCCTTCATGAGGGAGGCCAAAACCCTTTGACTCAGGATTCAACTCACAGAGCTCATGAAGAGTGGTGGCAGCTCTGGCTCAACATCTTCTGACCCCACTGCTTAGGCCAGCCACCCTTTGTGATCATGTCCATTTCTTTTTTTAATCCATTGTCACATCTCAGCTCAGCTCATCATCTTCTCTGTTGTACTTGTGTCTCAGTCCCAGTGCATCACACAATCATTAAGCACATGCTTGCCCCATACTGTATTACTTCTCTGTCTCCCCCATACTGACCCCAAAACTGTATCAAGATGCAATGTAGGGTACATTTCATTTGCAGACTGCATGTCATATCATAAGTGACTTCTCCAAGGTCAGTCATAAAGCACCCAGATCCTGTGAAGACCCCTTATGCACCCTTGTTGTCAATGGGTGGGACTTAGCTGATTCCTACAGCATCACTAGCTATACTCCTTCAACTTTATATGGTGACCATTTTGGTCTGTTTACACTAGGTATGTTCATGCCCCAGATATTGGAACAGCTCATCTAACAGCCTCATTTGAAATCACTGACCTGGTGTTCCCACAGCCTCTCCTACCATGACCATGTCACTATCCTGATGGCCCAACCCCTCCTCCATTGCCCACCGACTCCAGGGCTTGACGATGCCAACCATCTCCTCCTCAAAATGGATCACCATGTTATGCAAGATGATGCAACACATTACCCAGTAAACTGTGACCTTAACATCCCTCTCATTCCAGATTTTCAAGCGCAGCTCAAGGAGACTCTGAAATTGACCCTTCAAGGCAGAAAATGTGTGCTCAACATGGGTGCAGACCTTTCAACATGATTAGCATGCATACCAGTATGAGGTAAGTATCACCTTAGAAAGATATTTGTTATATAAATTCTGATCATGAGATAGCTGCCTGCCCTTGGGTTTTTTAAAAGGAACAGCACACCATTCCTCTGTGGGATATGCACTATCTGCCCAGGTCCAGTGATCTTCAGGGATAAGGTCTCCCAGTCATGATGTGATGCAAGTACCTTGAAACACCCATGCATCATGGATGCTTCCAGGGTGACCAAGCCCATAGTCAACCATGAGAAGGTTGTGCAGCATGATAACAAGCTATGAGCAGTAAGTATTCCATTTTGTGTGCATCAGAATACACACCTGACAATTGAGTGAATACCTCAATTTTCTGCCATAGAAGCTCTCCCCAAATATTTGGGGCTTTTCGAAGAGTGGAATCAATGAGCCATCTGCAGTGAAGACTCCATTTCTCCATGCTGGACATGTCCACAATTCAGTGAAGGTACATGCTCTTTCCATATCCTCCAAGTTGTGATGGGGAATATTGACAAATGTATCATGCTGATCCAGTATTGCAACCATGGCCTGATTGGTGACATTGATCACCAATCCCACACTAACCCCAGCCCACTGGGCCACATCCTCTGGTGATGCTGCATTCCCATAATGCCCCACACAGAAAAGGAAAGTTGTGAGTTGAATGGCAACTGGCAACTGATGATTTTCAGAGCTACTATGAAATATCAGGTGGCTACTTATTTGATCAAGGATGTGATCAAAAACTTCTGGCCATACATGAAGGTGCATAAGGAACAGATGAGGGTGATGGTCAGCAAAATGGTCAAGCAGGCTGAGCTGCAATGACTGCATCAATGGTACAGCAGGCTTTTCAAGAACCCATGCATGCTCTACTTCATCCCTCAGAGCCTCAATTGCATTCAGGAGCCATCCACACTGCCTATCCCTCTCAACTGTCAAGTCTGTATCATCAGAAATGCTGGAGTTGGAATCCATCAAGATCAGAGAGATCAGAGAGATCAGAGATGGCAGAGTAACAAAGAGGATGCTCTGAGATGAATTGGAATCTCCATATGTTGTGGTTGAATTGCTATTATCACTACTATCAATTTTGCAATGCATATTTTCCAGCCCAGTCATTGCTACTTCCAAGCTAGCTTCATCAAGTTGTCTGAGGAGATTTTTGTGGAGAGATTTGCAGGGCATTGTTCTTCAAGACTTAGCTATTTAATTATTTGATATACCACTAAAACTAGTGTAATTTATTTTGAGTCTGATGGGATGCCACACCATTTGGCTTGTTGGAGTTGAAAATGTAGTGGCCAGAACATGTTTCAAGAGCCAGTGCCAGAACACAGACAGAGCGCTTCCAGAGTGCTTCCAGCACCACCCTGAGCACCACTAATATTTGACCCCAACCTGTCATGTTTGAGCTTCAGTACTCCAATGTAGCCTACCCCCACCTCCTCTAATCACATCCACAGCTTGCTCGCAGTTGTGCTCCCAACCTTCACTGCTTCCAGCTGTCAGCCCCTCCTTGCTCTCCCACCATCATGTCCTTTGTTCATCTTGTTTCTCCTTCTCCTTCTTCTCTGTTCATTTCTATGCTTCTTCTTTCCTGTTCTTTGCTTTGCCACCCTCACTTGCTCACCTGTCCTTTCATGCCTCATTTCTCATCTAACTCGTCTTGCAATTGGTGTGCCTGTTAGCATGCTCACACTTGCGCTTCCTGTCACATCCCATCCCTCATTTATGCACTTACTAGCTGCTACTGCTACCCTTTACATTCATGGCCCATCTGCATGCCCATTAATTGACACAGTTGCATGTCCCACACTGCCACTCCATCCCTTTCCCATTTTGGGCCAAGGCAGCAGGGGGTCAGAGTTAAGGTCATGTGACCCAGCATGACCCCACCTGCCACATGGGGCTGGCACTGCCACTGCACTGCTTGTATAAGTACATATCCAGTCCTTTCCTTTTAAGGCAATTCCCATGGCATCGCCACCTGCAAATTTTTCAAACTAAGTCTGTTTATTCCAGAAAATTTGCAGGTGGCTGTGCATGTGAACTGCAAATTTTGAGTCAGCCACTCAGCCACAGCAGCTTGCCCTTGGCAGTGGGGATGGCCATTCAGAGTGACTGACTACTCATGATGGCACTGGCATCATTGATTGTGCAGGATGGCACTGGGATGCAAAAGAAAAATATGTTCAATGGTGGTCAGTGGTTAGTGGAAAATGGACTTACATTCTGAACACGATCCAAGCAGAGGGTCATGCAACCTTGATGTCGATGTCGCTTAGACCCCCCAGCCTTGGCAGACCATGGTCATGGTTTGTAGCATAGTATAATATTAGTACAGTATGTGTACTGCCTGCTGTACTTATCAAATATGATGACCCAGTGGCTTGAGGTGCTCGAATTCCTGTGCAGAGATTGTGATCGCTCAGTGCTCAGTGTTCAGCACTACTCAGTGTCCAGCATGTCCAACATTCATTTAGTCATCATTCCTGCCTGGCATTGGACTGCAGGGTTGCACAGGTGTTGTTGATTGACTTGGCACCAGTGATGTCATGTCTACAGTGCTGATTCCACCACTCAGCACTCAGACCTCCATTTACAACATTTTCATGAGAGCATTGCAGCAGACCCTACAACTCTAAGTCTGTTTTTATGGTGACTGTCAACTTGCTACAGTACAGACGAGGCCATCTGGCTGGAAGAAATAGTGGGAAAGTAGACTGCTACTTTGCACACAGTGTATATACAATATGCATTCATATCAGTTCTGCATGTACCTGCATGGCAGTGCAAATTGCCTAAATGTGTACTTATGAAACACCTCACCCAGGATCCTGCCACCATAATACCATAATTCCTAGTGGGTCATCATGAGTACATGGGATCCAGGCCTTCACAAGCTTCAACATGTCCTGTCAACTGGTTTGCTAATTTCACTGGTTCAAAAATGCAAATGGGGCCAGCCTGGATGCAAAGGTGCATACTCATTTCCCATGGCAAAGTCACTTTACAGGACTTTACAATTGCTTTCCAGCACTTTTCAGCTTGAACTGGTCTGCAGCCTTGAGGCCTATTGGGTCCAGGGCACTGACATAATCACTTAGGGCAGGTTAGTGGGGTGCATGGCAGCAGGAGCCCTTACCTGCCTTTGCCCTCCATCTTTGACACTTGATGCTCTTTGATCACTGCTGTTGGTGAGTACTTGTCAGTGAGCCTATCCCAATGTTTCACCCAGTTGACAGATCACTATCACTCGAAAGTCAATTCAGTTCCATTGGATGGGTCTGGTGAGCAGCCTGTTGGCCATTCCCTTCGCTGGGCAGTTTGGCACCAGACATCATGTCTATGCAGCCATTCTTGAGCTGATTGTTGGTCCCCTTCAAGACTTTCAAGACCAGGAGGTTCAACTTGGCCTGAAGACTGTCCTTGCACTTACCAATCAGTTGGTGAGCCACATTGTCAACTCCTTCCCTTCCTCTTCCACTCATAAGTTTTGAAACATAGATCTCATGCATTGAGTATATCTATTCTCACAATGCCATCCACCATGATGCTAAACTGGCAAGTAGACTACACTGACCTATTTGTCAGCTGGGCACTGCCCTACATCAACTGGCTTTCTACATCATCACACTCCTTGACCTCCCAATGAGTCTTCCACCACGTTCCAAAACCATGCAGGCACTTGAACTGTGGCCAGTGAGTAATTTTTTCTCTGCTGTTTGTTCGCATGGCCATGTTAACTGTAATTAGCTTCTTGCTCCTGCAGGGAGACAATGTACACTTGGTGAGCTTGCTACTAAGAACTTCAGCACATGTGGTGGTGGAGCAGGCACCTGGTTGCTCACTGTGGGCTTTAATGCCAGGTTAGTTGCCTGCTTTGTATGGTCCATTTCATCCCTCATGAGCCCCACTAGTGCATGGATGTATTCATTGCTTAACATGTTTTTGTGGCACCAAGCTGGCACAGGACAGTCACATGAAATACAAATGATTTTCCATCACCTTTCTTCCATCTCTCAGATGCCCCTCCACCCGTACTTTGTTTTCGATGGGCTGGACTGCCCTCAGCTCAAGAGGGGAAAAGACATTGTGTGCCCATGGTATCCACCCCTCCTTGTGCAGCGCTTTCAAGAGCTGTTGATGGCATTTGGTTTCAGCTGGCACATGGTGAGTCATTGACTGTACATGCTGCCAGGTGCTAACAAAGCTCACAAGGCTCTGGGGGAGGCAGAGGCAGAACTTGCCTGCCTCCAGTCATGCACCCTCATTGATGTCATGGTGATGCCATACAATGATGCACTGCTGTTTGGTGTGACTTGTATTGTATGCAGGTAGGTCAGTTCAAACATGGACATGTGGTCATTTAGCTTACCACACATAGTGGCATCCCACCATCTGGCAAGTATGAAGACATGCAACTCTATTCATCTGACACCTTACAAAATTGCACCAGCCTCAAGTGGGGCAACCTCCTCCTTGTTATGCTGATGAGTAGTGTAGATAGTGAGGTAAGTGCCATATTCAGCCCCCTGAATTGGGTGGAATCCTCATTCAATTCATTAGACAGGTTGCCAGTGGTGCAGCACAGATGTTGCCTGTCAATTGGTAAATTATGGCTTTGGAAAGACCCTCTTCCAAGCTGCTATCATGTTTCAGTTCATGGAGTTTATGGAGTTTGTTGCCAGGTGGCATGACAATGTCTGCAAGGTACTACAAACATATCCTCAACACCTCCTTGGATGTAGGCACCATGAGCTTGCCCATATCATTGTGTAGGAACACATTGAGTTCCCTGACCCCGTGATCTTAGCAATGTATCTGTTACCTCTTACCTCATGGTCAGAGGGTTGCCATCCCCCCAATGCTGTTGTGAGGTCTTGTCAGCCTGATCTTGCATTGCTGGCAGAGTTCTGTTCATGGCACCTTGGCTGGTTGCCAGATACCATCTGGTCCAGATTGATGGGTGCTTGTGCCGGTGCAGCCATGTGTGCACTTCTGCAGGTGAGTCTTACAATTGTGCCAAATATGCCCACCCCACCTCATCATCCACCATCCACAGCTGCCAGGGAATGTCAATAGCGAGTGGCTGCAACATGACCTTTGGGTCCTGAGCCATTCTGACAAGTCATACAAGTGCTCTGTGCCAAGTTTGCCACTTGAAACACCAGTGGATGCAGATCCATCGCCTGCATACGAGATAGAGATTCCAGCAGTCATGTTAGAATACTCAAGACCTGATTTGGTGGAGTCAACAGTCAACCTTCCTCATGAAACTGGAGTTATTGACCTGGTAGGTGGTGCAGATGCACCACATCTCAAAGCTGGAGTCATTGGTCTCATGGATGAGGACTAGTCATTTGCCTAGCACACATTTCTATAGTGTTGTATCAGTTTGTGAGTGGCGCAATCACCATGTCTGTGCAAGTCTACCTCACTTACTTCCCTGCCTGTTGTGCTTTGCTCCATGCTACTGCCAGTCTGCCTGCCCAAGTGAATGTGACATATCAGATTCTGTCCTCCAGATCCAACTTGCCAACTGCCTGCCTTCACATCACTCCTGCCACCTCGGCTTGTGTAGTTGCCCAGATCATTATGAACTCAGTTGCACTTGCTGCAATCTCCTAGGTAATTCTGTAGGTTTGACTCATTATACATACTGACTTTTACCCAAAGAGAGGTGTATTCATTGGCTTCACACATCTGAAAGGAAAAAAGAAAAAGAAATCACAGTTCATTCCTGAGGCTGGGTACTACAAATTTTGGGAGGGATCTGATGGACCAGAGATTAGTGTTCAGGTGGGCATTGTTTTCAGCAAGTGTGCCATTTCTAATGATAATGTCAGTTTATTGCCCTGTCATCCTCCAACTCTCGTGTTTGCTGGAAACCCTTGAATGCAAGTAATCTGTCTTCTCAGTTTGTGCATGTCCCACTGTCTCCCCACTCCAGTATCCTCCATCTCATTTATTTCACCCTTCCCACATACCATACCTGGAGACTGCCCATGACATGCCTACGTCATTCCCTATGACTGCCAATTCTGTGATGCTCACAGATCAAAATATGCACTAGGTTCAGTCGGTGAGATAAAATTTTGAAGGTATGGTTGAGCATCAACTTAACCTTGCTTGTGAATGGTCACTGCAGGATCCAAAGGTTAATATCAATGTTTTGCCAATGTCCATCTGTGTAGGGCAGCAGAGTGTAGGAGGAAAGCATATACCATTTGGCAGGAACCCTTCTTCCATGCCATGACTGGTCGAGAAGGTCTTATCAAGCTCACTGTCAAAATGGTGGAGACAGGAAATGTCTGCTATGATGGTACAGTGCACAATTCATTGGGTGACCTCATCCAGCTTATGTACAGAGAAGATGGGATGCATGATGCATTTATCGTGTGCCAGAGGATTGATGTGTTTGGGCTCAGCGACAGGGAGTTGGAGCGAAGATTCCGCATTCATTGAATCCTTCTTTGCCATCCCAGATGATGAGGGGAGCATCAAGATGAGGATGGAGCAGGTTTTGGGACTGATGGTGTCAATTTAAAGGTGGTGATCTGTGTTCCAGGTGTCAACTTGACTTACCTTGGTAGCTATGAACCCAGTTGTGCTTGCTGAGATCTCCTAGGTAACTGTCCTTACCTCATTTGCCTTCTGTACCTGACCAACTTTCTGTGCCTTGTATGGATCGACCTGCTATACATACTTTTGCCCAAAGGGGCACCCCATCATCTCCCTACCCTCTGGTTCACTGGAAAGGATGACTTCAGCCTGGGGGCAAGGGGATTTGTGGAGAACTCATACATACACAGTCTGACCCCCACAAGGGGGTACTTTTTCCATGTCATGGCTGGTTGAGAAGGTCTCATCAATACTGCCATCAAGACAGTGGAGGCAAACTATACCCAATGACATCTCATCACATCATATCCCCCTCCCCAGCTTTCTCTGCACCCCCCCATCCATGCCTGTTGGTGTCAAATATCTGTCAGCCAAAATCGTATCCACATTGTCTTTGCCAGGGTACTCCTCAATGGAGCATGTATGGACCTCTGTCAGTGAAAATCATGTCCACATCATCTTTGTCAGGGTACTTCTTGATGGAGCACATATGCACCCCCCCTATTGTTGAAGATGGAGATGTTTGTGTTTGTGTCACCTGCTGTTTGGTAAACACCTTTTGGTTCTTCACATTCATTTTGTGTCGATCTCATGGACAATGACAGTGGCTTGTTCACATCTTCCACATTGACTGCTGCAAGCCTAGTGACCTCGAACCAGCCTACACTGTTGACACAGTCCACCAGCTTCATGGAGAGGTTAGCAGGGAAGTGCAGGCGAACACTTCACTGACCTTCCACATGCATATATGAGCCACATGCACTACCTGCCACGTATTGGAAGAGTTCCACCTCAACTGCGAAGTGTTTGAGTGGGTGTTGGATGAGATTGAGGCAAAGTTCAACCATACTCTGGTTAACCCTGGAGGGATGTGCAGTACTGTTGCTGCCCAGTCCATTGGTGAACCAGCTACTCAAATGACTCTCAATGCCTTCCACTATCCTGGTGTGTCCAGCAAAAATGCTACACTCAGTGTCCCCCATCTGAAAGAAATCATCAACATTGCTACCAATATCAAAACACTTTTGCCTTCTGTGTACTTGGAATCCTACATGGGCCAGGACAAGAAGACTCCATGTTCATCGAATCTTTCTTTGCTATCATTGAGCCAGTTACTCAAAGTGACTCTTAATGCCTTCCACCACACTGGTGTATACAACAGAAATGCTAAGCTTGGTGTCCCCCATCTGAAAGAAATCATCAATGTTGCTACTTGGTACAACCCTGACCCTACATCCACCATTATCAAAGACTCCATGTTCATTGAAGCTTTCTTTTCTATTGTTGAACCAGTCACTCAAATGACTCTTATACAACAGAAACGCTATGCTCAGTATCCCCCATCTGAAAGAAATCATCAATGTCACTATGAATATCAAAATGCTTTCACTTTCTGTGGATTTGGTACAACCATGACCCTATGTCCACCATTTTTGAAGAAGACTCCATGTTCATCAAATCTTTCCTCACCATTCCAGACAAGGAAATTGAGTCAAAGCTCCACCTTCAGTCACCAAGGCACCTTTGGCTGGCACTCGACTGTGTCAGAAAGATTGATTGGAGTCTTGCTGTGGTCACTGGCCACATCACTGGGAGCTTCAAGACAGACCTCTTCATTGTCTGGAGTGTAGATAACTTGGAGAAATGGGCAGGGTACAGTCGAAGAAGACATCTTCCTCTGCCAATTCAAGAACACAACATTGAACTCAGTCAGCCTGCACAGTGTCCCTGCCTCATATTTTTGTTGGAGTACAATGAGGGGAGCATCAAGACAAGAGGAGCAGGTTTTGGAGACTGACAGCATCAACTTGAAGGTGGTGATCTGCCTTCCAGACATTGACTTTACTCACATGTACTCGAATGGCCAGTCCATTGAAGCTTCCATTGCGCTTGGGATTGCAGTTGCACATGCAGTGATCATGAAGAAAGTGCAAGGAGTCATCAAATTTGGTGGTTCATACATGAACTACTGCCACTTGTCATTGTTCTGCAACCTCATGACCCATTGTAGAACACCCATGGCAATCACTCCTCATGGTATTGACCATGCTGACACCAGCACCCTGGCATCACTCATTTGAGGAGAAACAGTGGGGATTTTGATGGAAGCTGCTGGGCATCACTGACTTGATGGGGCGAGGGGTATTCATAACTATGTGTATGATGTATTACTAGCATTATATTAATTACTGTTCCAGTTTTGTTGTTGCACTCCTGTGCACATTGGTTGTTGAGGGCTTCACACTGAATATGATGTCACTGAATTGGTTCTGAAAGAAATAGTAGCTAGTTGACAGTGCAGCTACACTATGAACTGACTTCATTTGCAACTCCCGCACACTGGCTGGTTGGGTTCAGGCCACCTGTGGAGGGAACAAACATCCTGTACATGACATGGTCAGACAGAAGGCATCAATGACAAAGAGCATTGCCTTACCTAGATCCCCTGACAAGAGAAAGAGGAGGGCAAAGGCATCTTCTCCAAAAGAACAGCCCAGTCTACACACTGTTCATCAGATCAAAGAGGCCAGCAAACAAACTCACCTTTGAGCAGCCAAGACAAGGGCAACATATGCCAGGCACAGTCATGGCTACAGAGCCACTTTCTACCAGAGGGGATGCAGCTGTCTCCAAGTCCAAGTCATGTTGGCAGTGGGGACCTGAGCTTGGAAGTGTATGGCAATCCAGACTTTAAGAACATGTTCAAGTGCATGCCAAATCAGTGCTCAGACAAGGCCCTGGCCCTTTACCTTTCATGGAAGGGTTTCCAGGAGAACTACAGTCAGAGTACAATCGACAGTGTTTGAGCAGCATTTAAATTGATGTGGGATGAGGTGTATGTCTCACATGACTCTACCTTTGCCAGCAACTAAAACAGATGCTCCAAACAGTGATGGTGGGACATTCCATGAGGCCTGGCATTACAATAGTGAATGCCAGTGGTGGGAGGGGAATCTGGTGTGCTCAGCAGAAGTGGATGATGTCATAGCATCTATCTGGCATAAGGTCAATTCTCAAGGATCTGAGCACACACACTCTGGTGCCATGAAGAAGGAGTACCTGGACATGATCCCTGCCTGGTCCAATTCTTGCTGTCCCCTTGACTCCCTGTTGCAGTACATCCATTTGGTGATGACACACTTGGAACCCTCAGCACTGCTGTTAGTCAAGTGGGCAACAGATGCGAAGACGAAACTAACCACCACATGGCACATCAAACAGCTGGCCTGTGCTGCTGTCACATTCACACTGTGGACCAGGTAACTAGCATGTGGCTTTACCTCTGAAGTTGATGATGACAGTTTACAATAGGAACTACAAACTGATCAGGCTGAAGTGTGGGGACATAAAACTTGACAGGACCACTGTAGATAACATGTTCCTGAAGTACCTTCGAGGTGAGGAAGGATCGCTCACCATCAACGACCTTGGTGTGTACTTTGAGGTGCACCTGAGGAATCGAAAGGGGTGGCAGAGAAAGTTGGACAAAGGGATGAGGGAAATTGACTTATGAAGTACATTCAATCCCATCTTCATGACATGGCACTACCTCACATCTGATGTCCATTGTCAATGGCACATATCCATAGGTAATTGCTACAAGGTTTATCCATGCCCAGATATGGGCAAAGCATGTGATGTCTTCATGTGCCTGGTTTTTGGGATGAGATGGACTGAGATTGTCCATCTTGGTCGACCAATGGCTGATGGTGACTTCCTCTTTCCCACCATTGG